CATCAAAAGGCAAACATCTACATCATTTTCCAGTAAAATCATCCTAAGAAAAGAACATTTAAAGAAACTGATTTTTCATTCGAATGATTACATTTAACTGAAATCATCACCTAGGGAAGGATTCGCGTTTCCTTCTCTCTTATGGGTGAGGTTTATAATTTGCGTGTTACCCAAACAATTTAGTTTAACTTGAAAAATGAGTCATAAAATCTTTTCGAATAACATACGCTTCAGACAAAACGAAGGGAAAAAACTCTTGCAATCGAATGGGCAATCTGTCTTTAACTGAGGTCTTGTGGTCCAAATTAAAACTTGCAAGTAGGACGAACTAAGGAAACCGTACGTTGACTACAGCTCCTTAATTACAGCTTAAGAACATATATATCTTATATAAATATATATATATATATATATATTTGCATTTTAGAAGACAACTTTTTATGTCCCAAAATCACGTTTTGGAATGCATTGTTATACAACCTACCTAATGCAGATAAAAAGTTGTTCCAAAGGCCCTTTTCCGGTGGGTTTTTCCTTCTTACCGCAACGGTAATCAAACTAAACTGAAGTTCATATAAAAAATTCGTTGACCTTTAAGTAATTACCGATTCCAATCTTTCTGAATAGCTTATTGCCCCCTGAGGACTTCCATATGCCCTGGGGTGACGTGTTCGTGAGCGCAGTAACTCTTGACTGAGGTATTAAATTTCCTCGTATGTCCTTATAGACCGAAAAAACAAAGTCGATCTATATGTCCTCGTTTTCCTCTAACAAATCTTCCTGGATAACTATTATAAAGTGCAGATATTCTCGTAAATCAAGCTTGGCTTAGCTTTTCTTCTCTAAAAGTGAATGATAACAATATAGAGTTTCATTTATCATAAGTACCTAGACTGGGCGGCATATTTATGGCAAATTAATCATAAGCTGATCTAAATTGCAAAACTTCAGAGTCTAAGTACATTTTGTAGAAAACTGTCGACTTCTGACACAATGAAACCATCGTTGCCCGTAAGATGCAAAGAAAAATACAAATTTGTGTCCTTCATCCATAAAGCAAAAAAGAGTGACGAATATTTTCCCTTTAGTCTTTAACTTATCCCATCCTTTTTTTTTTTCACCCTCTTTGAATTCGTTAAACTTTTGGTACATTATGTTTTATTTACCTTTTTTACATAAAGAATTGGTCCATGCTTAACTTGTGTATATCGAGTTCACGGTGATGCACGCGGGAAGTTTGGAGAGTACTAGAGAAGTGTAAGAGTCGCTCAAGGCGCAGCTGAGAGTAACTCCAGCTTCTTGATTGCCCTCCAAACTTTCCAAGTGTATCCATAAGTCGATAAAGACACTGCTAATGTATGAACCAATTCTTTTATAACATAGCATGCAGACACAGGTTGTGCTAACACATGCACACGTCATGTTATGGATATAAGACCGTGTGTACGTAAGGGTTTTTACCATAATAGCTCGTTAAGTATTAGTTAGGGATAATATGATTTTTTCCTCTTAGCTCAAACATTCTGCAACTCTAACAAAAAAAACGAACTACGAAAACTGCTTGTTTTTTCTTCAAAGCTTTGTGCAGTTTGCCGGTGCAAATTAAGTTTCTCATCTTTAGTGAATAGTCCGCGCGCCTAAAGTTACTTTCATGCATAGGTATATTTATGCGTTTGTGGCCTCCTCCATCGCATAAACGACATTTAACTTATCCTTACAAAGAATTACCTTTGTCTACAGTTTTGCAATGGGATATATAACTCCCTTTTCTTCTTCCCTTGATAGATTAAATTTTAACTGGTGCGTAAAACAAACCTTTAAAGAGTAAAAGAAAAAGAACGATAATGGTTGTTTTTCTGCAAAGCGGCTTTGTGCAGTTTGCAGGTGCAAATTAAGTTTCTCATCTTTGATTAATAGTCCGCGCGCCTAAAGTTGCTCTCATCCATAGACATATTTATGCATTTTGGCCCCCTCCAACGCACAAATTAAACGACATTTAACTTATCCTTGCAAAGGATTACCTTTGTGTACAGTTTTGCAATGGGCTATACAACTCCCTTTTCTTCTTCCCTCAATAATTTCAATTTTAATTGGTGCGTGAAACAAACCTTTTAAGAGTTAAGGAAAAAAATGATAATGGCTTTTATTTTCTTTAAAGCTTTGTGCAGTTTGCAGGTGCAAATTTAGTTTCTCATCGTTAATGAATAGTCCGCACACCTAAAGCTACTTTCATGCATTGACATATTTATGCGTTTGTGTCCTACTCATCGCATAAACGACATTTAACTTATCCTTGCAAATGTTTACTTTTGTGTATAGTTTTGCAATCGGATATATAACCCCCGCCTTTTCTTCTTGCCTTAATACATTAAATTTTTAATTGGTGCGCATAACAAACCTTTTAAGAGTAAAGGAAAAAATGATGATGGTTGTTTTTTCTTTAAAGCTTTGTGCAGTTTGCAGGTGCAAATTAAGTTTCTCATCTTTAATGCCGGAATAGTCCACGTGTCTAAGGTTACTTTCATGCATAGACATATTTATGCGTTTGCCGCCTCCTTCATCGCACAAACGACATTCAACTTATTCTTGCAAATGATAACCTTTGTGTATAGTTCAGTTTGCAATAGGATATATAACCCCTTTTTCTTCTTGCCTTGATACATCAAATTTTAATTGGTGCGTGAAACAAATCTTTTAAGAGTAAAAGAAAAAAAATGATAATCACTAGAATATATTCAAAAATGAATATCAATTAACACCATTACTTCACTTACAGCCGGAACAGCCATGGAGCGCTCCCAGAAATGGGAGATTTTCGTGCGTGTAACTATGTAAATGCATGAATACAACGATACAATAGTTGAAAGAACAGATTTCAGCTCTATGCACTCAGCTTTTTAAATACGTGAACGATAAGAGTTTTTAGTACATTTATCTCATTCAAGAATGTATTTTTTGCTACATATCATTATTTTAGATTTATATGAAACTTACAACGCTTACATATATATATATATATATATTTTATATCCTGGTTCACATTGCCTTGGCTGTGCCCGCAATGATATTGATATATACTTTGAATTATTTTACCAATAAAGTTTACCAGACTAATAATAAAAATACAGAGTGAGTAGCTTTGCAAAACAGCTTCATTAGCAGTAAGGGGAAAAAGTCCAAACAAACCGTCTCCCTGCAGAAAGTTTTTTCTAGTTGGTTAATAAATTATCCCCTGTGGACTTCCATGTTTCTTGAAGCGACAAGGTTGTGAGTATCTATCTTGACTCCTGTCACAATGAAATAAAAATAATATATAATAATATAGATCGATTTAAATGCTCTAATGAGCTTTACACAGACTGTCGGCGGCAGTTTACAATTAATAAAGGAGAAATTTTTACAGATGCCTCCTTCCCCCTTCCCAGTAAACAGGCCAGACCACATCACAGTAATCTCGTGATGCGGGTTCTTTAACGTCCCCTGCCGAAATTAACTAATTGATAGGTGCAGGAGACGGGACCTCCGGCTTTACGTCCTATCCAAGAAAACGAGGCAATGTTAGTGAAGCGTCTTGCTTAAGGACACAACATCAAGCCCCAGCCAGGACTTGAACTCGGGCCATCTGACCCAGAGGCCAGCGCACTGACCACTGGACTAGTTACGCCTCACGTGAGTGGTCCAGTGAAAGTATATTTACCCACAGGATGCCCATATGTACAAATCTGCGTGCTTCATCCATAAAACAGAAGGAGAATGAAGCATCTTATTTCATTTTGGTGAACTTTCTGTACATTGAATTTTTTCCAATTTTTTCAGTAGAACTTGTGGCTTAAAGCTCTAATATTTTGAAATTCTAACAAAAACGTAACGTACAATGTTCAACTCTGACGATTTTGATTTAGGTGACTTTGAATTCACAGTTGTTATGTCATCAAACTCGTGATTTCTGTCGAAAATCAGCGTAAAAAAATGCCTCTGAAAGGCAGAATAATAATTATAATGAAAATATATCAATAATAATTACAATAATGATGTAAAAATTTATAATGATAACAAAACTAAAAATGAATAAGGAGAAATTATGTATGGGTGAAAGATATTATTAGCACAAGAGCAGCTTTAGCGGATATGTATAATCATCCCCAGACAGTCACACAAAGTTTTTAAGGGTTTGGATCGCGTGAGGCTCGGGTCGATTTGCGTAGCTTAACACGACTCAGCCCAATCCTCCCTCGATTTTTCGCTCCGCAGTCTTTGTTGCATTGGCGCTCCGTTTTATTGCTTAAATGCCTGGAACAGGCTACTGCGCGTTAAACTGTGCTAAGTTTCGGTTATTTTGAGGTGGAGATAATTTTTTTAAGAATTTTAACACCTTTGCCAAAAGAGGTCGACAATGATGCACTTGAGAGGGCAGGAAGAAACACAGAGTTACAGATGCTCCAAAAAGAGTTGCTTGAATCGCGCGACGTTTTCACTCTCACCCATTTCTCTGTCATGATGCTTATTTCAGCAAGAACCACAACAAAATGTGAAAAACCGCAGGCAGTAGATGTCACACATAACAACGTGTTCCCCTATCCACTCTTTTGTCCATTCCAGATTTTTTGACGGGATCCCTTGGGGAGGGGGGTATTGGGATTTACGGTTTTGGCTATATTTCAGATCGGTTTTTGGTTTTTTCTGCCAAAAAACTTTTTTTAATTTTTTTGTTCATTGCATTTTTTTTCCTCCTTAGTTCCGGTTTCTCTTCGATCTGAGCAGCAATTATGTGCCTTCACTGAGCCCTCCATTGATCTCGAATAGCTGTGAAACCTCTGTATGCTCCACTTGTCACCATTGTATCGGATCGATTGGGATTTTCTTAACTGGATTTGAAAATTTATCAGTTTCGATGGTTTTGCATGCACTTTTCGGTTTTGATGGAATTTTTGTGCGGTTTTGGATGATTATTTCTACGGTTTTTACGGTTTCTAATATACCCCAGGCCCCCCTCGCTGGGATCATGTACAGATTTGCACACACTCCCACACGAAGCTGTACGGTGATCAGAGCGGCACCTCGAGTTCATTACTAGAGGCGTAGTGGCAGATTATGGTATATAACAGCATGAAAAAAGTAAGTTTTGCATATTAATTTTAATGTTGCTTCTAAGAGTAATGTTCATCTGGCGTTTTGCTGCAGCACGTGATCGACCAGGATAATCTTTACCAGGTCAATAATTTCATATTTTAGATGCAATGATCGTAGAGCACGGAAAGACGTTTTGGAGTTTCTTCCCGTTTTGAAATTTTCGCGGTTGCTGGAGTCTTAGGGATTTGCCTGATTCATACAAGACCTCCTTGCATTGTCTTTGGAATGTAATGGGGCATCGTCGTCAGTTATTTCAGAGCTTCAGCCCCCTAACCCAAGGGTATTTGTGGCGAGATTTTGGCAGTTATGAAATAAGTTATGAAAATAATTCCTCGTCAAATAATCCAGCTTATGAAACCCAAAGACCTTAAAATTTTTGCTACATATGAGCATCGAAAAATGTGGTTTAGGCACAGTTAGATTACTCAGTGCCCCCCACTCCACCCCTCTTCTCCTTCTCCTAAGGTAAATAATTAGTGACTAAGTAAGGATTTTGTTTAAGGCNGGGGGACTTATTTGAGCAGTTTCCTAAATCCAAAGGCTAGGGCTGTTGAAAATTTATTGACACAGACTTGATTTTTGTTTTCTGTTTTTTTTTATGATAACCATTATAACTTTCTATGTCTGATTTAATCCCCCCATTCTGACACACTCCCTTCCAATGACTTAACTGATCCTCACTGGGAGCTTGCATGTGTACTTTTGTATACAAAGTTTAGCATTTTATTAAATTGATATATGTATGGTCCTGTTGTAGATTGAAGGGTTAATTGTAGCAACACTTACACCATTTGATGATAGTGGGTAAGACAGTCTATTTTGTATTCTCTTGTTTTATGGATAGAATATAAACAAAGACAATTCGTGGTAATGCTTCTTTGCTGTAACTTTACCACCCTTTAGTATAAAGATCAAGTTTGTTTTTGGTGTTGTGTCTGATATGCCATGTTATTTTATTTTTGGTTCTTCTAATTTAAGATGCTAATTCCTTTTCTATTTTTATTGTTATTTTGATTGAATTACTTTATTTATTTCTTTTATTTATTTATCCATTTGGATTGCAGGGAGCTGAATTTAAGTGTGATAGAAAAATATGCACAGCATCTGCAAAATGAGAACACCAAAGGTTTATTTGGTATGATGTATTAGTTTAAGAAATCCTAGCATCTTTTGCATTTTCTGGATAACCCATGGATATTGTGATATTGTGATATTTTGAACATGTATTCAACTGTGATTGTGTTGTGATTACATCTGCATCTTAGTTCACCTCTCAGCTATTTTGATGTTGTAGTTCTTGATTTGTTATTTCAATTCCCCGGGCAAAGCTATTTTTTCTGTGCTGGTCTGAAGTCATGTGGCTATGGTAATATATACATTTTGCTGGGTGCAGCAGCTTAAATGTGTTCATGTGGTTAATGGCAAGCTGTCAGATAAGCCTCATATATAGAATGTTGGGGTGGTAACATGGCATTGACTGGCATCCCATTCAGGCAGAGTGGTTACCGTAATACTCTTAAGTGTATCAATCATCCTACAGAAAGCTAAATGAGCTCTAGTGGCCACCCAGCTTATTGATGTCGAATTAAAACTTTTTGTCCTTGTTCAAAATCATCATTATCTTATTTTCTTCTTGGTGGAAAATTTTAGACTCTTGTTCTTGTGGCTTTTTAGTTAAGTTTCATTCTTGTCTATAAATGAAATGAAACCCTAATCTGAAATGTTAGCTACATCCAATAAGCAAAACTCTCTCACCCTCTAGTGTCTAGTTGCAATAAATGTTTTGCTTGGGTGACCCAGTGGGGTGGGCTTGAGGCAGCCAATTTTAAGTGTTCAAACAACATCTCCTGTAAATTGCAATGGTATTTACCAGCACTATTCCTAATAATTTGAGAAATATGGATACCTATCACAGTTCTAAACGTGAACTCAAGGAGCTCGACCTTGCAGGTTTATAGCTCCCTATTTTTTGTATTTAACTTAGCTTTCTTAGTATATAAGCATTAGAGTTTTATAATTGTAGTTTGTATATACTATATCATTTTAAACACTTGGCAAAGCAATCTCTTATCGCAACTTATTCTTGTTTTATAAGTTAATAGTTCTATAAATTTAAGCGTTTCCATTATACTAAATCAATTTAAACACTTTTACATAGCTTCTAAGTTTATTTATTTATCTTTTCTTTTCATGACTGACCTGTAAAGTAGCTTTATATAGCTAAGTGTTAGCCATGTTAAATAAAGTATATAAGTATATAATAAGTATATATATTTTAATTAATTATTTTTCACGGATGTGGGCTTAATCTTGCCATTTGTTTTAATGTCCCAAGTATCTGGTACAACTGGAGAAAGCACTTTATTGACAGTGGAGGAGAGGAAGAAACTTGCTGAGAAGTGGATTGAAGTTGGAAAAGACAGGTGGATCAGTGTTGTGTCCTTAAATAAATCAATAAATATCTTTTAATGCTGCTTAAAATAATTAATCAATAATTATCTTTTAATGCTGCTTAGAATTATCATAATAGTAATAATATTAAGGATAATTTAATTATACTACTACTAATAATGATAATAATAAAACAATGTCTGAGTAGTAAAGTCACTTGTTTGCTTCACGCAACCTCATTTACAGCTTATCAAATGATAGCAACAATTATAACAGCTTAACATATGTGGTTCACATTTGGTTCCATATGCTATTCTATTTATAAGTCAGTGTTAGCATCACTAAGCATGACAATGCATCTCTGCATAAATTATTTAACTGAGTTTCAATTTGTCAATGAACTGAGGCTATTCCTTCTTTCCAGGTTTGAAAATATAATAATACATGTTGGAACCTCAAACTTAAAAGACTCACAAGAGCTGGTAGGCAGAATTTGGTACTTGGGACATATAAAGTTTAGTTTCTCATTTCTTCCCCTCGATTAACTATGTTGCAAATTATCACTTTTTCTAGACAGGTATTTATGTCCTTAAAGCCACACCCTTGAGTTGGGAGATTGCTCCTTAAGACTTAGAATTAATTTGTGTGAATCTTTTTATAGGCGAGACATTCTGAAAACAAAGGAGCAACAGCAATCGCTCTGATGGCCACGAGTTTCTTTACTCCCCAGTCTGTTGGTGCGTGTCTGTTACTTGCAATATTTTGTATGTTATCGTTCTCTTGCAAATCTATAGAAGATTAAATCTTTATCTTCTTATAGTACAACATAAACATTTTTCCATATCTACGGAAGTTCACGATTGTGCAAGCTTGGGTTGCCTTTGGTTATGTGAACACGCGGGGTAACTGGAGTTGGTGCCCTTAGAATGTGCCTACAGAAAATGAGTGGGTGAAGGGCCACGCCCTCAGAACGCGAACTTCAATACATTTGGTACTTTACACCTTTTGAGTGGTGATTTAGAAACAAAACGATTGTTCTGAATTTCAAAGCCAGTGATAACAATACAGTAGAATACATTGTTATGATTATGCAGTATTCTTTCCTTCTTGCAGATGATCTTGTAGAGTATGTTCGTCTTGTAGCAGAGTGTGCACCAAATACTCCTTTATTTTACTATCATATACCAGCTTGGACTAACATCCCATGTAAGTATTAGAGATACCATGAATGTATCGTAAACGAACGACGAAACAATCGAACGAACGAGTGAATGAACAAACGGATAAAGGGTGAACCCACAATCCGACGAACGAACGATTGAGCGAACGACGAGCGAACCACGGACGGACGAAGGAACGAAGGAACGAAGGAACGAGTGAATAAACGAACAGAAGAACAAACGAATGACGAGCACACGAATGAACGAAGGAGTGATCGTTCCGAGTCTGCGCGCCCTTCTCATGTATGTGCTTGTGTCCCCATTAGGATGTAACATGATGTCATAATCTTTAAGACTTAGTTGTCATTTGATAAAATACTTAAGGAAGTAAAGATGTCCAATGGCTCCTGTGTGTCCAACCAGTTACCATACCTCTAAAACTGGATTAATTTTATTGTCATAGTTCTGATGGAAGATTTTTTAAAAGCTGCCATTCCCAAGATTCCAACTTTAACAGGAGTGAAGTTCACAAGTGGTAATATGTTTGACCTGGGCCGCTGTCTTATTATCGAAGATCAAAGATTTTCGATTCTGTTTGGCGGTGATGAGGTGAGTTTAAGTGTGGAACTGTTCAGTAACTGTGAAGAGAATCCTGAAAATATCCTTCCTAAGTGCAGGAAGTGATTTTATTCTAGAGTGGGGGGAGGCATATCCTGTTAACTGGCAGGGCGAGAGGTGCGTATTCAACCCCTGGCTGTGTCATGGTATCGTGTTTTTGGGTAGGAAAGTCTACTTTCACAGTGCTTCTCTCCACTCTGGAGTATAAATGGCTTCTGGTGAACTTTTAAGGAATCTTGCTGTTGAAGGGTAATTGCGATGTAATAACATTCCATACATGAGACAGGGAAATGCAGTTGCTAGCTTCATGCTAGCAACAGAACCATGAGCTCGGACAAGAAGCTCCACTTGGTTCATGGACTGAATTTATATGAACATGGTCCAACGAGTTGCCCAGTCTCTCTTCTCTGCGTAAAAAATCGCCTTCAGTTTTGTCAGGCTTGGGCTACTTGACGAGGGTAAGCAGAGAAATTAGGACAGTGTCATTTAAGGTCCCTGGACTCAGTTGCTATCATGTTTGATTTTGGTTTGTTTTGTTCAGATTCTCCTAAGTGCCTTAGCCATGGGAGCTTGTGCTACCGTTGGAGGGTAAGACAACGTAAATAAAATCAGAGTAAAACACGTAACTGCAAACAAACCAGAGCGGGACTAGAAAAAAGCAAACCGAATATAAATAACAGCAAACAAACAAGAGATGAATCTACCGAAGGCAGAATGGAGTGCAATGGAAATTATTCCTGGAGAAGAAATTTTACAGAGCTATGACTGAAAAATGCAATTTTTTGAAAAAAAAAAAAAAAAAAAAAAAAAAAAAAAAAAAAAATCCAAGGAATTTTTGATACAAATTTGTTTACAAACGTTGTGTGATTTCTTGTGTTGTTCTAGAACTTATAACTTTGCTGGCAAGCTCCACGGTCGGATCATGGATGCTTTTGACAAAAGCGATATGGAAACAGCCAGATCGGAGCAAGTCAGTTCTCTTTGTATTGTCCCTGTATTTTCTTCTAGATCTCCAGACTCGACAACAACTCTCGGAGCTTGTTGTACCAGCGTTTAATCCATAACCCCTTAAATATGATTAGTAATTCTCCCAGCTTTCTCATCGGCTGCTTGCTTGATGGATGGCTTTTGATTGGTAATCGTAAAAATAGGTTACCACAACAGCCAATCGCAACAAAGGATAATATTACAAGGAGCCAATGAGAGCCCGAACTTAAATCAAGCAAACTGCAAGAAGCGCGAGAAAATGCGAGGTACCAAGTCGCAATTGATTTTAGCCTTGCATCTGATTGGTTGGGAGGACGGTAGGGGTTTTCTGAACCAATCTCAATGCGAAATAAAGTAGAACTAATCAACAAATGCAATCCCGGATTATGTTCGACCCGCCATTAAAGATTGCTCTACTGTACTCGCAAGTCATTGTCAAGTTGGTGCTTAAGATGAACTGATTGTGAACATTCTAGTGGTGGATTAAGCGGGGAGGTCTGGGGTACGCGGACCTCTTCCCCAACCTCTCCCCCTCCCCCTCCCCTTTAGACCTGTGGGTATGTTTACTACATCCCTGACACCAAAATTCTTGCCACGACAGGATTGCATGTTGAAATACTCGGTTTTAAAAATATGTATGTAGTTCCGACCTAACCTCCTCTACCCCCCACCACTCCAACAACAATTACAGGGTCTTGGTCTTTCCTGAAGACTGATCTTCTTTTCCTTCTGTAGTATCGGTCTCAAGCAATGATAAAGTTATACTGTAAGTACGGTGAGTGTTTCCTCTTAACCCCTCACACCCTAACATCAGTATGCATATTCTCTATACATTTCCTGAGTTGCTGACAAGGAGAATTTGTTTAACAATCAAGAGCTTCTTTATTTATTGATCAGTTCCATTCTGCTGGTGACCTTAGTGTGTAATTCATAATGGTAATTGAACTGAGTGGAGTGTAATTTCGGCTGAAATCATACGCGTGATTTCAAAATCGAACGAGCGCGCACCGTGAGTTCGATTTGAAATCACAAGTATGATTTCGATTTGAAATCACAAGTATGATTTCAGACCAAAATTGCGCGACATGAGGTTCAATTACCACTTTATTACATCCATTTTGAAAATCGCCCAAATGCAGGACCTGGTCAATTCAAATATTTTACTGATGCAGTACTGAGCCGGTTTTTAAATAAAAAGAGGAACCGGAGACGCTTTTACTATTTTGTATGCAAAACAGGAAGACTTTGACGTCATGTGACAAAAACTCAGTCGAGCATAAAATGATGCGATTTAGAGCAAAGAATGGTGCGATTCGTGAATAAATCGCACCAATTAGAGCCAGTCAGATTACAGGGACCACCAGTGATTTCAAAATGGATGTAATAAAGGGGTGATATTGTAAGGAGAAATTAGATACCAGTCTCCTATAGGCGTGAAAAGGTTAACAAGTGAAGAGAATTACGTTTTCCACGTTATGTGGTTGTAAGGAAAAGTTCATCGTTAATCACGGTTTGTTTACTTTCCTAGGAGGCCACGCTGCCGTCGGTAAAGCCATCATGAGATTCCTCGGCTTGGACCTAGGGCCCGCTCGTTCACCCCTCTCTTTGAGTGAGAGCCAAGAAGCGCAATTACGTGAAGAACTGGATAGTATCGGATTCTTCGCATGGCGTTAGATGAAAGAAAAAGCCCTCCAATTAGTCATCTTTATTGCTATTTTAATTAGCATTATCATTTTTACCAATACCAGTCTTACTAACCGAGTTTGAGGTCCGTACTCACGGCTGTAACTCAACGCACCAAATTATTTCTGGTCGAAAAATAAACGGGTTTCGTAACTTACAGTACGAATCGAGAAGTAACATTTGCTTTGGTACCTCTGGGTTGAAACAGAAGGGGATGGCGGAATAAAATGGGCCGAGCAGTGAAATACAGCCCACTAATTTGACCAGTAACTGAGAGAAATAATAATTTAAGATACTTCAATTCACGTTAATTGCCTTTGATTTTGCTATAATTATGAACAAAACGAAGGTAGAGCATAAGACAGCAACTGGGATATTCTATAAATTTTATTTCAAAATATGTGAACTTCTTCAGAACCTGCGTTTGTAATTATACCTCAGTTTTTTTTAATACGACCTACTATTAAAAAGAGGCTCAATCCTCTCTCACTGCTCCCGCAGATTTTGTTCTTACTCATTTAGGAACATTATCTTGTAATTTCACGAGATGAAGTTCTCACACCATGAACACTATTTTACTTTTTGCATTATAAAATATTTTCGTTTTACCTTTCCTACAGTGGAAAGCAAAACGCGTATCAAGAAGAATCAATAACAAAACTAATTTTCGTAAACGACACTATTTAATAATTATTTTTTTACCGCCACGAAACCACTACCAAAACACAATTACTTTCACAAGCCATTGAAAATATGTCCTATTTCAGGAATTTTAGCCCTTTCACTCTCGATACGACATTAGTAATTCTACTTAATGTCTGCTACACAATTTTTAAGATGGTAGTTCGGAGAATCCGGTATTGGATCTACTAATGATCCCCTAATTGAGGTCATGATTTTTCTTTATTCTCCTCACTTGTCTGCTTGATTTGGTATTTAGACTGTAAGGAGAAATTCGGTCTTGGTCACCCGTGGGAGTAAAAGGGTTAAATAGCCTATTTCCGAATTACCCTTGGCCTCATTTTCAAAACGAGTCCTGGTGCTCATCCTTTCATATGATTATGAATTTTCATTCACATGCAAATTAAACTCATATTCACAAGAATGGTTGAGCACCAGGCCTCGTTTTGAAAATGAGGTCAAGGGTAATTCGGAAATGGACTATTTACTTGGTTTTGTTCAAGATCACATGGTAAAGTGCCTCGTATAGTCGTACTCTATTGTGGGTATAACAGCCTGGACGAATTTGAGAAAGATAAGCAGATACCTGTTGGGAAAAAGTCAAGGAAAACATAAGATCAAAACAGGGGCTTCTTCTAAATTCTCCATTCAATTCCGACAACAAAGTTGGCTCAGATCGCAGGACGAATTTTGTCTCTTTGAACAGATCATGGATGTTTTTAATTTGCAGAACATGTTTTGATATGTCTCATATCTCCATCATCTTTGTCTTCTGTTTACTTAGGAAATCTTGGCTCGGCCTCCAATATGATTTGTCTTATCCCTGATTGGTCTAAGAAAGTCACGTTACTTCAATAATGCCAGATGATTAGTCATATTGTTAAGTGTCTATCACCACTACTAAGTGACACGGTAGAAGACCGTCTCTACGCTTCTGTGTGCTCATTTTGCTCAGTTTGTCGAACAAGGTATGCACTCTCTTGCGTGATCACGTTCTAAGATAACGCGTGATAACGCCTTTCATCTCACAACATCGCACGTATTGCATGACAATCAAAGGATACATATGAACTCCAAGCTCTCCTCCACCATCAGCGACTGTCTGTATGATCTTCTTCATTACGTCTGCGTGTCTAACGAGTTAAAACAACCACGTGACTACGGATTTGCGCCAATCACGGTGCTCTTTTTTTTCTCTCTTGGTGGACTAAGATGACGCAGCAACATATTTAATAACAATTTTCGACTGCACTCCAGATTAAGTAGTTTTGATATGATCTTTTACAGGATCACTGTGCTTTGTTCACTGGAGTATTATCAGACTCGAAGAGTGTCTCAAAGTCACGCAATAAATGATTCCAAGAGACCTTTCTCCAAAATTCAGCACTTGCACTAAAGTATCGGTGTCCATTTTGGATAGGTGTCCGTTTGTCATTTTTAGAAGTGACCATTACTTACCTTCATAATATCCAAACAGATGATGAGGATGAAAAGAATAAACCTACTGATGTCATTTGAACCCTTTACAAAATAACATTAGTATGCATAGTGCATACAAAGAGAACTTGTTTAACAATCGAGACCTTCTTCAGTTGATGATCCTTTCCTTTACTCTTGTTACTTTACTGTGTGATTCAGAGGTGATATTGCAAAGATAAATTAGATGATGTTCACTCTTAGGAATCAAAGCATTGGTATTTAATATTAGGGCAAATATTATGAATGTGAATAAGAGTAGAGAGGAAAAGGAGATTGAAGTCAGCAGCAATTGATTCAAAGGATCTGTTTTCAGGGAATTCAATCCTTCAAAATCAGATTCTTATCAGATTGTAGGAACAGCAGAAAGGGATGGGCACCAAATTCTCATAGGTGAAGTAACATAAAAGAAGTACAAGGCATTTAGGAGAATAAAGGTGAAGATCAGTCCCAAGACCACAGTTGTTACAACTCACCTACAAGGATGAACAGATGCCATGGTCATTGGCAAGTGAGGATGAGCTTCTACTGTTACTGTTTTCTTTGCATGATCCTACAATGCAGAGAAAACAATAAAATCATGGTACAAAAATCAGCCTACAATACTCATCTAAAATTTTACCTGACTCATATCCTCATACATCTCTTCTACAGCAAGAGGTTCTCGGTTCTGCAAGATAAAACATACCCACGATAACGTGATTATCTTATTACTGCTTGTTCCAAAGGAAAAAATATCTAACCTGCAAATCACCTTGTTCTATCAATACCTCTACCAAACCCTTGGTAACCTGGGAAAATCTTTGTGCAGTGACCCTTCATTTAACTATTTGCCTTGACCCCTGCAGAAAAGGTGCTTTTGGGTCAATTGAAAGGCAAAACTTTATGCTTGTAGCAGTGAAATTTATAAAATTAGTTATAAATCAGAGCTCGACATTAATGGTAGCCAACTAGCTACAAACTAGTAGAAATTCAGTTCTGGCTGGTGGTTTTTGATTTCCACTGGCTAGTGAACAAACTGAAATTGTTGTAATATCTAAGTTGTCACCAGCCACTTAGCTAGTAAGTTGAAAAGTTAGTGTTGAGCCCTGTAAATGAATAAGTGCATCAGAAACCTTTGCACCCTTTAACGCAAAGCTATACACTGACCCATTTTGTACGGGAGAGGCACTGTACATAAAGGTAAAGCTCTGTGTATATGCACGTATGTATGCTTGTCAAACAGGATCATTAATGTCGAAGACAGAATTTATGTATGGAGTTGCCATATTTATGTCCAAATTTCAATATATATTCAAAGAGCAATATTTACCTCCAAAGACTGCATTATATATGTCCAAATGGTATAATTTATTCTTCTGAGTTATTTTCTTGATTTATATATTTCTTTCATGTCAATATAAATATTTCACCCAGTATTTCAACAAATATATTTTTTATGTTAAGTGTGTTATGTATTTCAACTTTGGAATCTCTCTAGGCGTCATCTAAGTACCTGATGAAATGGCCGCTATCACGTGAGTGTGAATTTTAAGAACAGCATGGTGGCCAACTGGCTTGCAAATGTAGATGGTTTTTTTTATTTCACTGGTGAATGTCTTCTCCATAAAGTTATCAGTGAAACTCCCAGTAATCGTGCCACATCTGTCCATCGAAATCCTTCCTCCCTGAGCGATCTAATCTGGGTGTCGGATATAATGTACCTAGGCCTTCCTGTTCTTCCTGTATTGTCAACAGGGCAGAGATTTTGAACAGCACATTGTCCTTCATCTTCAAATTGGCTACGAAAACTTCGAGCACCAAGAGTCTCTCAAAGATCTCTAATGGTCTCCATTAAGATCTCCAAATCTGGAACAAAGGTAATTTGACCGGGGCACTCTGGCTGACAACAACCTCAAAGTTCCTTCATAATAATCAAGTCTTCGACACCAGAACTCTGCACTGTCAACTTGGTTGGTGGACAAGTGATTTCTTGCCCCTCGTATGACATTCACCAGTGAAATAAAAAACCCATCTACGCTTGGAAGCCAGTTGGCCACCATGCTGTTCTTAAAATTCCCGCTCACGTGATAGCGGACATTTCATCAGGTACTTATAGATGACGTATAGAGAGATTCCAAAGTTGAATTACATAACGCACTTAACAAAAAAAATATATTTGTCGAAATTACTGGGTGAAATATTTATATCGACACCAAAGAGATATATAAATCGAGAAAATAACTCAGAAGAATAAATTATACCATTTGGACATATATATTGCAGTTTTTGGAGGTAAATATTGCTCTTTGAATATATATATATATATATATATTGTGGGAGGAAAAAGACAAGTAAACTACAAGTTCATCCCTACAAGCCTGTTTCGTGGTCGCCCGCTCATCAGGGGAAAATCTCCTGATGAGTGGGCTTGTAGGGATGAACTTGTAGTTTACTTGTCTTTTTCCTCCCACAATATATACTTCGCTCTACTTCTATGTATTGAGCACTGTTCTACGAAAATCAAGTCACACTTTATATATATATATATATATATATTGAAATTTGGACTTAAAAAAAATGGCAACTCAACACATAAATTCTATCTTCGACATTTTGATCCTGTTTGACAAGCATACGTATGCCATACTTTTCTCTAACTCAGCCCTGTTTCCCCCTATAGCAGGGTATTGTTGAGGGAAAAAATTGATAAGGAATGTAAGCCAGGAGGAAATTCTGTGAAGTAGAATCCTTACAAATATATGCAAAACATTGCTTGAACCCATAACATACATTTGTATTACTCAAAAGCAAATTAACAAGCTTGAACAGAAAAAGAACAACGAAAGTTTGTCTAGGTGCAAACCAGATGTTTTGGCTTTTATGACACAAGTTTTGGCTTTATATTTTCAGTGTAATGAGATTCAAAAGACTCTTACCTCATTGTAACCAAACAGCCACAGTCGTGGTGTTTGATAATATTTGTCATATGTGATGTACATGTCATAAGTTCTTGTTTGCAGAATTCCTCCAGAGGCGCTTGCATCTGTTGCACCCTCCCCCCCTGACTCAGCTTTAGATGATGCTTTGATTGACAAGGTAGCCTGCAATAAGACAAGGTAGACGTTACTGATAAGGCAACAGGCCTGGTCACCTGCTTCATTATCATTACTGAATTGTTCATGTATCACGAGGTGATTTAATAGGAATATTGATTTTTCCACCTCGGAAAATACTGTACCTCATCACTTTCAAGCATTCCACTTTCTTCAAAAGCTGAAAATTCAGACACAAAATCATCAGTTTCATTTATAATACATGACAGACAAAGAAAATTTGGGAATCCCAAACAACAATTTCCATGCTCCAGATTGAAGCTTTAACAGGGACATTCTGGGACTGCATGCCATTGGTCAAAATGCATCACATGACCAAATATCCCCCAGCTAAACCTAGGGATATTCCCCAATTTCAAACCTTGTATCAAATACGGAAAACTCTGCTCATAAAATTCAATTTTACATGACAAACATTGAAAGGGTGATGTGTGATTGCGAACTAGACACAACCAAAACAATATTTGTCAGTGTTGGCTCTAGTCTGGTACCACTGTTAATGAGGTTGAACAAAATCATGAGTACATGTACAGGTACCTTCCATATCTACTGCCTCCTCCTCATCATCTTCATCTTCGTCATCATTATCTACTGGTGTTACATCTTTTGTGCCCTAAAAGACAATTAAATTTTGCTGTTGTTATCACTTTTAACGGGTCAAGGTTTTTCAACATTCCATTGAAGAGTACCCTTAGTATGTCATCAGCACAAGCTAGTTTGCAAGTAACTTTGTTTTATCAAATTAGTTCATAATGTAAATTGGTCACGAGAGTTTCTTTAGCCTAGGTTTGAGTGTAACCCTTGGCAAATGGTTAGCCCTTTGAATTAAGGGAGCAAGTTTCTAAAGTAATTGTGGTGCTGCATTACTGGGAGTAAAAAGGTAATTTGGGTTTTATTAACTGAGTTTCAAAGCTGATGTTTCTAGCATTAGCCTTTTGTCAGTGCAAAGCCCTTTTCTCTGACAAAGAGCTAATACTGGAAACGACAGCTTTAGAAAGTCTTAAGTAACCAATTCACATCTTTTATTCAATATCAACCCAATTGGTAAAACCAAAGCATCTTGTAATACCGCCCCCCCCCCCTGTCCCCAACAACAATGCAGTGCCACAGTTCACAGTTTCTTTATAAACTTACTCCCTTTATTGATTAGCACTTGCCTTGTCAGATTCAAGTGTCATCTCTGCAAATGACTCCTGAGCGCCGGTGACAGCTTGTTCCCCACTTGGATCAACATGGTGGTGAGTGTCCACCCACCCACCGTCTTCATCGGGTTCAACAATTGCTTCATTTTCCTCCTGGTGTTCCATTTCTTTGCATCGCTTATAGCATGGAACTAGAGGCAAATCATTAAGAAATAGAGAAAGACAAACAGAATGTATCAAAGGTGTATCAGTTTTACAAAGTAATGCAAAACACATCCTTACCATTCTTTGTATACAAAAACTGCTTGTCTTTTGGAAGATAGCTCTTTATTTTAGTATCATCAGGTCCTGAATCCCTGGTGAAAAAAGACCCAAACAAGTTTCAAATAAAAAGTGTCACTTTGCAGGATAAATTGAATTAACAACATTAAGAGTTTGAACAGGCTGCTAAATCTGTACTAGCCTTAGTGGCTACCTCCCCTTTACAGCCCAAAATCAGTCTACATATTCTCCTAAGTATCTCAGTCTATTCATTTTATGAGATGCTGACAAGGAGAATTGGTTTAACAGTCAAGAGCTTCTTTAGTTGGTGATCAGTTCCTTTATCCTCCTGACCTCAATATGCAAGTTAGGGCTGAAATTGTGAGGAGAAATTAGACACTAATCACGCTAAGGGATCAAAGGGTTAAGCTGACCACCCATCTTCAATTTGAGTTCTCCTTGGCTTTCTGTATTGCTAACATTCAGTCTGATTGCCTAATGTTTTTTTCAGGGATTAAAATTTATTTGGTTTTACAACACTCATTCAGAAGTACTCTACTGAAGCTTCAATTCAATGCTTCCACTCCTATAACTTCAAAAGTGATTCTTTTTATTGCCAACAATCCTTCCTTCCATTGTTAATTCTGGAAACTGGGCATTGATCACAACAGTATCTGCTATCGACATTTTTCTATATTCTCATCACCTGTTTGCCAGAAATAACACTGACATTATAGGGAGAAGTAACTTCTTCATCACTCTTTGGAGTGAAAGGTTTAAACATGAAGGCACGCTATATAAAGAAGTCTTCCCTGGGAAGTCCTAGGCTCATTTGTCACTCGCCCTTGACATGTGCGGGTCAAATTTAAATGCTGGTAGACGAACAAAAGGAGCTAATGAGATATCTATTGTTTACTTCCACCAGCATGGTGGCATGATGCAAACCACCTACTTTGATCTCAAATTCACCACCACAAATAAAGACAGTTTCCATTGGAGAAAGGAAATACAAATCTCAAAAATTCTTGTACTGCGATAAAGACATAAAACAATTTTAAGGAATGTGCCCGCTGTTCACTGCTGTGGACTAGCTGTAGCTCAAGCTGACTTGACTCTAAGAGTTCTACATCACACAACGGTTGAATAACAAATGGTCCTGTGGGACCTAAGGCTCCTTTTATAGTGCGCCTTCGTGTCTAAGGTCAAAAAGCATATGCCCAGGGCAAACATATGTAGATCAGATAAGCTCAACAAAACATGATATGACACGAACCATTTCCATGTTGGACAGTGATGTACTAGGTGATCTCCTGCTGCAACAAACTGTAGATCATGCAAAGAAAAAATTCGAAAATAAATATGTAATGAAATAAAATTATTTCTATCACTAACAGTGATACAATTCATGGTTTGAACAAGAGGTTTATGGTATTCTTTTCTTTATATATAATGCCATGGTATAACTGTATGCAAAAGCTTCTTTGCTAAGGTTGCAGAAACATCATACACTTCTGCTGACAACAATCCCACTATGCATTTCTCTAACCATGACAATCAGATTTCATAATCAACAATGGCAGTGTGAATGCTATTGTTTCAACAAAATTGACCAATCCAATCGCATGAAACAAAAAATTGATGCCATCTAAATTCTTGACCATTTTTAGTTGCTTCGGCGCGATTGAATTTAATGAACATCATCATTATCCTCCTTTAGAGTGGTTGTTTAACATCATTTAAAGGTGACCTGAGTAAATGTAGTGCATGAACCTGTAAGTTTGACAATTCCGACGAGAAGAAATGGTCGATTGAGATCTACAGTAGTCGCTTTAATGTTGTTTCGGTTTCCTTCGTATAAACATCGCTCTAAGCACTCAAAAGTGAAAGACGTGGTTGAGTCATACAATAAAAATAAGTAAGTCTATCATTTATTATGGAGCCCTAACCTAAGTCCGAGTGGGCCAGACGAACTCTTATAGAGTACAAATTCCAAATATAGATTGCGCGGATAAAAAAAAAATTAAATACGTACTTCTTCCGGAGTAATGACGCCCGTTTCTTGAAACTTTGACTCCTAAATTCACAGAAGAGATAAGTAATTTTCTAAATTAATCGGAAACAACCGAAACAAAACTGCAAAACAGGATTTTCGATTAGGTAGATAATTTGTAACACACCTTCAAAACAGGTGTCAAGTACTCCGCAACTCCGAGAGCCGTTCCCTTCACCTTATTTATAACGTCCTGCATCGCCATGATGGAATCTATTTAAAACTATATCGATTGTAACGCTTTGGAACTCGAAAATAAAGCCTTGATGCCCTATCCAGCTTGATTCCCAACTTCAACTTACGTGAACATATGCGTGCATATGCTCATAGGCAAATCCGCTGAAGGTTAGTGCTGCTGGCTGAACCTCACGCAAGTTTATGTCACGCAAAGTGATGGTGGATCAGGCCCGGAAAAAATAGCAGTGTGCTCGTAAGGTTTGGCTCCAGTGGAGCGTCATTTTTATAACTTTTGGACTTATGGTGAAATTGAATGGAATCATCAACCATTGAATGACTTTTTTTGCACCGCCTTTCAGTGTTTATTTTTTGTTATCACGGTTGTTGTTGTTAATATAAGGTATTTGGTTATATCAACTAAGTTCAAATTGTAAATTGGCCACCGTAAAGAATAAATGGTTGTTGATATAAGAGAGACAACATAAGCGGTGTTTCCATACACAGCGGTCATCCCAACATTTTATCTACGTTACCACTGGCGGATCCGGACCTTTCTGTTTGTGTGTGTTCACCTGCCGGCCTTTCTTCTCTCTGTGTAGAGTTTTTTATTAAAAGTAAGGAGTGGGGCGCCCCTCCCTAGATCCGTCACTGGTTACAATTGGTAGTCAAAACTTTTAACAATTATTTTTTGCAATCTGGCCAGTTTCTAATTTGAAACTGTCATCGTATTAGCACGCGTAACGACTATGGCCGTGATTTGCTTTGACGGAGAATGAATTAATCCTAATGCTGCGATAAAAAGTAAGATCCGCAATAACAAAAATTATGGAAAATATTAGAGTGAAACATCATGGGTAACCACTTTTGAGGAAGGGTAGTACCCAGTGGTGATGAAGAGACGGGGGGGGGAGGGAGCAAAGAAAGTTTGTTAACCTTTGTTGTTCTCTCTCTGAGGGAATTGACGGTTTATCCATTAGACTTGTTCGTTACAGTACACAGCAGGATTTGGACACGAGACTGTATACTTCGTACTTCAGTGTATTCAGTCACATGACAGTTTTTGGACCAATCGCGTGCCAAAAGTGTAGCAGGTTCTTGAAGGGCAAAAACACAAAACGCCTACTTTATATTTTATTGCTGAACTTCCATCGGGGTAGGATATTGTCCAAAGTAGAAAACATTGTACACACATTTTAACTCTCAAGTCAATTCAAATTAATTTCTGGTGATAAATCTAGCTTCGAAACACGAAAAGTGAATGAGGAAAAAGAAACATAATAAAAACATACGGGGTGGGGGAGGGGGAATTACAATTTCAGGATACCTCTAAGAAATGAAAATGATCAATCCAAATCAAAATCGACTAATATCATGTTTCGAACATGAAATAATATACAACCAATTCACTTTTTTTTTCGAATAGGGCGCCTTATTTTCTCTTTATAGCAACCTCAGCCATATTCTCTCTACGATACTCAGTAGTCGTTAGTTCCATGATAACATTTGATTCTCTGTTCATCTGTCTCATTTTTTTTAGCTTATTCCTGTCTAATATGCGCGAAATCATGTCGAACTGATTTTGTCCTTCACCTCATTTCGTTTGCTTCTTTACTGGGTTTTTCGTTCCTCCACTGCTGTTCATTTTCCTTTTGTGAGGATAGGTTTTCCGCACGCTAAGTAGGAAACTGAACCTTCGTGGACGGCACAACAATAACTGGGAAATTAACTTGGTCGAGACCACTCGGCAGCGAGAACGGAAACTCGTCACGATTTCCTGGCACACGGAGATCTACTTCGAGCGAGCTTGTACGGACATGAAGGATGAGACAATCTTTGGTTCCACAGTAAACTTTATTCTATGTCAGGATAACAAGCGATATGACCTCTAGCGTATTGTAAT